ATATGATTCTTACATAAATACTGTACCATGAGAAATTATCTCATTATCTAATACGCCAAAAAGTTAATAAGATAAAGAAATGGTACGAGTCGTTTTGGACAATATTAAGCTTGATTTTAGCTCATGGAAATAAAATGTAATTTCCTTTTATTATTCTCTTCTTCAGGTAGAACAAAGGCAATGAAGGATGTAAAGTGTATGATTACACAGCTGTGTTCGTGAGTGCACTTTAAATCTAGGGGATGGATTCAGGCAACATTGCCTCAGATTAAGATTTTAATGACCTCCATTTAGAAAATACATTCTTGCTATCTTGCAGGTTTGATTTTTTTTCAAGCCAGGGTCTCCCTGTAGCCCCGCCTGGCCTGGGGCTCACTATGTAGACAGGCTGGCCTGGATCTCTGCCTCCTGCGTGCTGGGATTAAAGGCGTGTCCCACCCAGGTTTGAATTTGGAATTCACATGTGATAGTAAAAAGAATGTTTCTTTCTCAGTTGTATAAATACTTGCTTCCGTGTTCCCACGTGTATGTCCATTAAGAAACAAATATGTAGTGCCTACAGGAATAAAGGATAGAACAACTTAAAAGACTGGAAGCTTCTTGAATTATCTATCACAAAGGCAGTTCTGCGCCAGGTTTGGATAAGGTTAAGATATTTATGAGGTATGGGCCCCACAAGACTGTGAGTTTCCAATGCATTTTTAGATATTCTTCTTTGGGGGAGAGTTTAATGTCTTGTTTACAAATGAACAAATAATCTTGATGAAAGAAATTGAAACACAACTCAAAGGGATAAAAATGTCTGGCTGAAATAATCACTTGGTCAGCATGTGATCTTCGGTAGTGGAGGTGGGTAATGTTTTGATGCTGACAGTACTCATGTGGGATGGTTACAGACATAGAACATATTGTTTTTTTTTACACTCTTCCTATCACTTTAATAGAAATAGCACTAAGTAAATGCTGTCAGCCTTCTGTGACATGCAATTTTTCATCCAAGTAAAATATAATGTACCCAGGACCTCAAAGAAATTTAATAATCTCTGTGCATTCTTGCGATTTGCTAGACCTTTCCTACAAACACCTACGGAAACTATATTTGCCTGGAGATTTAAGGTAACAGACTTACAGTTGCAACTAGATGAATTTTTTTATTTCACATTAGGCAAACACATTGCGCCCATGTTGGGAAGTGTTGCCGAGTGTGCATACAGAATGTCCTTCTAAGGATATGTTCAAGACCTAGTTAAAGACCTACATCTATTTGTTAAGCTTTCGGTATAGATCTACTGGGGGACAGGGAATGAACTATATGAACCGAGAAGATTACAGATTCTTCCAATATTCCCAAACAGAGCATATCCATGCTCTTGAAGCATGCTAACATGACCATTTGCAGGGGTAGGGGTGGCTGACGAGTGGGGACTATCACAGGCTTAGCAGCAATGCTTTAGACCTTACAAATGTGTTTGTGAATCTGTGCTGTCCCTGGAGGCAACTGTTTGTTTGAATGCTCATTTTTCTTTGGAAGTGAAACACAGAGGCTTGTATTTAGATAAAACTAAAAGAACCTTTTGAGTTCAACTATGTGAGGTTCAGGCTGACTTAGAGGTTTAATATTTAGCTTGGTTAATTAAATCCCATTCTATGCCCTGAATTTAATTATCCCAACCAATGTGGTAATTTAATATAATAATAAAAAGAGGGTTAATGAGAAATGGAAGAAAATCTGACTGTTCATTCATCCGGATCAGTGGGAGCATTCCTTCTTGAGGTGTCAGTTTTTGGGTGATTATTGGGTATTATGAGTTTTCAGTTAGTGACATTAGGTACTCACCCAAAGCTCATTCTGTCAAGTTCAGGGCATTTTAATGTGACTTCATAAGGTGGTAGTTTCCTTCTCCCTAGGTTGTGTTTAATGTATATTCTATGTCGTTCTTCCTCATATGTAAGAAAGTCAGGTAGTTGCTACTTCTGAACCAAAGTGAGTACAACAATAAAAAGGTGACCCTTCTTTGGCTCTCACCTTTCAAAACAAATGAAAGTGCTTCCTTAATAAGCACTTATCCTCAGGGTAGAGGCCCTGTGCAGGACAAGCAGACCCGGACTCAAAGCTACCAGAAACTGGTTGGTTACTTTAGGTTACTCTGTCTCCCTGAGACTTGCCCTTGTCATCTGCTCTTCTCAGATAGCTGAGAGGATAGATGGAGAGAGTGGAGCAGCTACCACATAGCCTGCCTGATGTATAATAGATGCTCTGCAAATGGGGACTCTTTGTCCTCTGAATAGGCCACAGGTATGCTTACAGATGAATAACAGACAGCAACATGTCATCTACCACATGGAATGCCAAATCTTGTGGTTTACCAATCTGGACAGTGTGCCTCAAATTTTAAAGCCTCCGTGATTCATGCAGGGATCTGGTTCAGTGTGAATTTGCATTCAGCCTGAGATTCTGCATTTCTACCACAGTCCCAGTGACAGACACTGTTGGTTGGGGACCAACACAGAACCAGGGCGATGACTTCTGAGTATTGAGTAAGTTTTAACAGACTGGGCTAAGCTGTAAAACAGAATTTTACTCTACTTTTTTCTTGATTTAATGAGAAAAATATCAGGGAACTGTACAGATGCTATAGAAAAAAGGTATGAATGAACACATTTAAAAATTTGGGAAGCTCAAATTCATTCTACACACTTTCATTTATTGTCTGGACAGATAAAGTACAAATAATTCAAACACAACAAGATTATGAAAAAAAACAGTTACAATACTTTCCCTCAGAAATCATCTAAACTAGCAAGATTAACATGAAGTCATTCATTTATAACTAAAGTATACAACTGCCTGGTCCTAAGATTTTTTTTCCTTTTTTTTTCCCCCAGATTGAACACATCATAAAGATATTTTGGCATGCCTTTCCCATGAATGCTTAGCAAATGCATCAAACCTTTGCCAGCAAACTGCATTCATTCATAGCAGGTGACATAAAAAGGTTTCCCTGAATGTTGAACGAGTGTTCTCTGAACTGAAATCTGGTGTTTTTGTTTTTCCAAAACCGAAAAGAGGAAAAAAAACCAGAAAAAAAATTTAAAGGAGGAGTCTATGATGCAGCCTTGGTTTTCGTTATCTGTCTACCACTACAACGACTACTACAAAGTTTGCCTCTTCAGTGTGAAAACAACAGTCCTGTCTACATGCACTTAGTGGGTTCAGCATGGGAAAAAATGCACAAAATAAGCACAAGTTATAAATAACCATAACGTTTTATTACCATTAAGACTAAACTTGTATTGAAAAGATTTTATATAACAAGACAAGAAAAGCAATAGCAAATTTAACTATCAACTAGATTATGCATAGCGAGTAACTGTTTCTATTACCCAGGGAAGAGCATGAACTCTTGTATTTTTTTTGTTTGTTTTAAATATATAACCGTACAAAGCACAAACATACTAAAATGATCAGTGCGCTGGACGTGGGAGTGGGCTCCCACAGTCATTTTGTTCCCTTAGCTCGTTTTGTTTTCCCCAATCTGAATTACATTAAAATAAAGACCCAGTTTTTTTTTTCTACTGTGCAGTAAGAAAAAATATTCACAACAAACATGACAATATATCAAACAATAGTTCTACACAAGTTACCTTGATACCTCTTTAACTGTCACTTAAATATCATAAGAAAACATTTT